GGGCTGGGCAGGCCCTCTCCTGCATCTAAGGAGCCTCCCGATTGGCCTCCTTGCCCTTGGTCTTACCCCATCCAATCTGTTTTTCATAATGCAAGTAAGAAATCTTTCTAAACCAGGAATCTGATGTCACTCCTTTACTCTGTTTTTCCTGCACGGATCTCACAACTCATGAATGGTGGACCCTGAACCCTGGCAGGCTGGCCACAGGGCTGTGCTCTCCACTACTATATATCCTCACTGCTGAGCCTCAGCTTCCTCATCAGCAAAGTAAAAACAAAAACCCAGTTGCCATCCAGTTGACTCCGACTCATGGTGACCCCATATGTGTCAGAGTAGAACTGTGCTCCATAGGGTTTTCAATGGTTGATTTTTTGGAAGTAGATCACCAGGGCTTTCTTTTGAGGTGACCCTGGGTGGACTCAAACCTCCAAACTTTCGGTTAGCAGCCAAGAGCATTAACCATTAGCACCACCCAGGGACTCCACTGGCAAAACAGGGGCCACGATACCTACTGCAAAGTGTTGTTAGGATATGTAGGGTGCCTAACACAGTTGGCAACTCTTCCATGGAGCTTCTATTCATATTAAAAAGGAAATGGTGGGAGAAGAAGGGGAGAGGGAAGAACTGGTTATTCTGAAAGGCAAGGTCACTTCCACATGGGCTCATAATTACACAAGCACTCTAGACATACTTTCTCATTTGATTTTCATAACCCCTCTGAGGTGGAGGTACAGTTACTTGCACTCTGCAGGTGAGGAAGCTGGAGCTGCGAGGTGGGCTGACCAACTGGAGACTAGTTCAGACCTGGGTCTTTGTGAGAACAGAGCCCTGTGCTCTTCCCTCCCCTGCCTCCCTGGTGCATTTGGAATGCCACCTCTCTCAGGTCTTACCAGCTGAAGAGCAACTGTGGGTTAATGGCATCAAAGACCTACGGAAATCTGATGACAGTGATGGAAAGTGCCAAGGGAATAGTGAGGTGCGGTGTTCCCAAGGGTTAGAGACTAGCGCAGCGTCACGCAATGTGACACCTCCCTCCTGCCTGGGAGCACTCCCCTGTAAACAACAACCGAGCTCCACCACTGTTTCTACAACAATGAGAATATTTATTTTCTCCAGACAGTAAAAATAACATTTTTCTCTCTTTTGTAAAAGTTAAGTACCATTACATTCCATTCTCTTAAATAACAAAATCCTAAAAATATATATTAAATTGTATACAGTGCGTCACACTTCATCTTATATTTTAAAATACATGATGTTTCTAATTTGTTCTCAAAATTGCATATTAAGAGCATATTTACAAATAAAGCCTTGTCATCCAGAGTTAAGATCCCCGTGAGAAGGTGAGCTTGGATGTGGGAAGGTCTGGCACTGCATGAACCTGGGGGTGGCAGCTCCTTGCAGGCAGGGAGAAGGGCCTCCAATATGTGTTTCTAAGACATTTCCTTTCTGAAGCAATAGTTACCTCTGGCTCTCCTCCACACACTCCCCTTCTGACTTGATGCATACGTTCAACTTGGCAAGACAGGAGCCCACCAGGTGTCTGAGGCTGAGGGCCAGCGCCGTCCCCCGAGCCATCCAGCCCAAGGGGAGGAGCTGTGGCTGGAAGGTTTGAGAACACCCCACACCAGGGCAGCTAAGCTGAGAGACTTGGCCAGGAGGTAGAACAGTGAAGAAGGTAAACAAAGACACCAGAGGAGACACAATCAAAAGGTTAACAATTCCCAAGGTAATAACCAAAGCAGACATTAAACATGCAGAGATTCATAGCCCAAGAGGGTGCAGTTGGCTGGGATGTGAGCGGGTAGGTGGCCCAGATGAGGGTGGGGTGGGGGGAGTCTGGCGAGGCCTCATCACACGAGGGGGATGGATCTCAGAGGCCGTCCACTTCTTTTTTTTTTTGTATTTATTTTAGGCATTTATTAGTGGTCATTGTAGGTTGTCCACTTCTAAGTGCTTGGAAGACTAAGTGCGCGGTGCCCCAGGATTCATGGGGGCTTGGGGACAGCCCTCGTGGCCCTGTTGGTGTTGGGACAGCCTGGCCGACTGTGGCCGGACCACAAGCCCGGTCAGGCCGACTCCGGACTTGGTGCTGAGCGAACGTGGGGGTACGGCTGTACCTGGGCATGCCCCACAGGTTTGCCTGCCGGCCAGGACAACTACACTCGTGAGTGCTTTGATCTCTGTGGGTTTCTGGCTGATTGGAGTCTTGGCCCAGAGCCCACACTTCGGAAGTTACAGCAACCGGGTTACCTTGTTTCCACCCAAGAGGCCTCAGGCCTGTTCTGAAGTAGCGGGTGGAGGCACCGGGGTTCATACCCACTGGTTACCGCTTTGCATGCAACTGGAGAAATGGGGGGAACACAGGTACTCTGTGTGCACCTCCCAGGAACACTCAGGACACTGCTAAGACCCAGGGAGCCACCCCACAGCCACCCCAAGTCAGTCACCACAGGAGGTGACTAGGCCAACTGGCAGAGGGAGCCCCCGCTGGTATCACACTGAGAGCAGGGGTGGGGGTGGCACACAGGCTGAGGCAGGTCTGGAAACTGCAGGTGGCTTTGGGCACAGGCTTCAGTGCGGCTGTCCACAGCAGTCCCCAAAGGCCCCTTGTGAAGTCCTCTCGTCCTCTTCCACAGTCTCCTCTGTGCTCTGTAATTTACTTTTCTCAGGGTCACCCCTTTCCAATCACCTCCAGCACCCATGATCTCGCTTGTGAAGTAGTTTCTTCCTCCTGGGGCCCCCTTCCTCAGCTGTGGGGCCCCTCTGTGAATGTTGCTGACTGGCTCTAGCCAGGCCTGGCCTGAGGCATTTACAGAAACTCAACTTGGAACGATTTACGGCCCCCTCTCCCCACGCCGTACCAAGCCAGTTGTGGGATTCCTACAGGTGCGCCAGGGCCAACAGGAAGAAAGCCTGGGCATCACAGTGTTTCCTGGACCCCCATGAAGGGGCTGCTCCAGCTGTAGCCTTCAGACAGCACACTAGCACAGGGCCTGGCCTCCCTAGCCTGAGATGTGAGATGGGAGGGCGGTGGGCGAGCGCGGTGCACCGAAGGCCAGCAATCGGCAATCAGCATAAGCCCTAGGCAGCTGAACAACTGTCCCTCTGAGGGGTGAACCCTTCCCAGGCCCGAATTCCACACTCCTTTTGTGCTCCTAATGCGTCTGCTCATAGCACAGGACCCTTCTGAGTCCACGACCTGACACTTGTGTGAGTGGAAATTCCACAAAAGCCAGGAATAGTTGGAGGGAGACAGACACGTTGGTACGTTTCCAGGGGTCCTTGTATGTAACAGGCCTCTGTCCTCAGGCCCAGGGGTCTGCAGACAGCTGCTCCAGGAAAATCACCCTTTCTAGATCAAAGCATGAAGACAGTGCCGAGCAGCTCTGCTGCCTGCACACTGTGCCTGGGCAGTGCCCCTGACTTCTCTGTGAGCACACTGCCTGGGTTCCCCCGCCTGCCGGCTCCGAGCGTCTCTCCTGGACTCAGGTTACCAAGTGCCACCTCTTCCTGCAAACACCTCCCAGCTGGCCCCACCCTGCCCTCCGTCCTCCTAGGAATGGCCAGGCACAGAAGGGTTGCTAGTGTGGCAGAACCCCGGGAAGGCTGCGGTAGGCAGTGGCTCAGGGAGGCAGGCAAAGTGCTTCAACGAGGCCAGATGCAGAACAAGCACCAGGACCCGAGTGCCTAGGGGAGAGTCACGCTCTGACAAACAGCCCAGCCCAGCCCTCAGAGGGGCAGACTGCTCTTCTCTCAGCTGCTGCTGACAAAGCCTGCTTTCAAATGGTGGGGACATCCAAGTTAGAGATGGCGCTTACTCACACAACCAGCTGGACCTCTCAATCTTAGAAGCCCCGCACCCTCCCTCTCCCTCCTCACATCATCTTTGCAGTTCACCTATGTGTCTGAGGGATGCCTGGGCATGGGACCAGGGGCGAGGGCCCTCTCCTTCTTTACTGAGCCATGCCTAACCCTACTCCAGGCCCATAGGAAGGGGCAGACAGGCCCACAGGGAGCACAGCCCTCAGGGTGCTTTTCATCTTCTTTTTAACTGGGGGACACCTGAGCTGGGGATGTGGGCTCTGGGTCTCATGTGGTACTGCCTTAATTCTGTACCACAATACTTATACTTCTGTTCTAAACAAAATTCAGCCTGAAGAATCATGCAGAGATGGGGGTCTGGTCTGGTTTTCCAGAACCATGAGTGGCAAGACAAACCCAATCCAACAAGTAGTTTCTGAGTGCCTATATCAGCTTCTAGTAAAGTCTGTTACATGAATAAATGGATGAATTTTTTATGTGACCACTCTTCAAGCTTGCTCTGTTGATTACAGAGCTATGAAAATAAAGACATAGAAAGAAGCCTGTATGGGGGAGGTGTCAAGGTGATGTCAACGGGGGTCACCAGACCCAATTCTCAGGCCCTCCCTGGCTGGAGGAGGCTCATGCTGGCACAGAACCCTGACAGTAAAGCCCCGGAGTCAGCACAGAGTGCAGGGCCCTGTTTATGCTTTGGCGGTGCTAGTGCTCAGGGGTACACACTTGTGCAGGACCAGGATAACCTTCAAGAGATCTCATATTCCCCGTTTGGCCCAGGAGAAACTGATTTGTGGGTGGACAAAACAGAGAAGAAGCAAGAGTCAACGTACACCACACCTACCCACCACCTGACAATCATCTAGAATGCACCTAAGCCCAGTGCCTGATGCAGCCCCCTCTGTCCCTTGGGCCCACTGCTCCCAGGGCAGAGAGGTGGAGGCAGAGAGGGCTGGGACACAGGAACCTTGAGTCTCTCTCCTGAGTGCAACTAATGATGCAGGGTGAACCCAGGCTGCATGGCCCTGCAGCGTGGCCCCTTCCCATCTGAAAGGGGGCGCCAGAAAGGGCCGAGGCCGAGAGAGAGGCAGGGAAGTTGGTCAGAGGAGCACCACAGGAGAGCTCGAGCCCCAGCAGCCTGAGCTGGCACAGGGACCTGGTGTCCTAGCACAGCCAGGCTTTTAGTCACTCACGAGGGGATTCCGGTCATCTTGTTGACTCTGACCCTTGAGCTTCTTCTTAAAGATGGAAATTGAAGTAGAAGGCTTATAAAAAATGCTCCATATTTCCCCCGAAGTCCCTGGTTGATGGCAACCCATAAGGTCCCCTGAGGCAGGAACACGATGGGACCTGTCAAACACAACATAACTCAATGTTTGAAGCAGAGTAGAGCAAGGCATCCAAAACAGCTGACCATCCCATGAGATACCCAGTACCTACTAATGGGGCGTTAAGTGAGGCAAGCCGTTGGGAAAACCCTAATCGTGACCTTTAGAGACTGTGTGGATGAACTGGGTCCTGGGGGCACCAGGGCTGCAGGGCGGGGTGCAGTCCAGCAGATTTCAGCTCAGTATAACTGAGAACTTTTTAACTGGCAGAATTATTCAAATCTGGAAAGGGCTGGTAGGAGAGATTATGGTTTTCAAATTCTTTTTTTTTTAATAGCAGAACTCTTCCTTTGAATATTTATGTTTACCTGGAAGTCCACTTAGCTAAAAGAGCCTGTTGAGAGCAAAACTGTTCTGCTTGGAGTTGGGGCCTACCTTACCTCTACTGCCTGCCCGTGTCAGCCCAGAGTTGCTTGAGAGGGCACTGTAGAGGGACGCCGGTATTAGATGGGCATTGGCCCTGCGCTTTGGGGTTCGTGGGCACTGAGGGCCTCGGCTGTGCTGTGAGATGCTGGGTCTGTGCAAGGCGTCCTGCTCTTTTGGTGCTGTGAGGGACACGTGGGCAGGATGGTGCCTGAGAGGCTTTTCCAGAACATGGGAGTTGTGGCTTTTTAAAAATATGTATAAAAGGCATGACAGTGAGCTTAGTAAACAATAACGAGGACATTGATTCCACTGAAAAATGTAAAGTTGAGGGTGGAGATGCCTGTGTAGGGTGGAAAGTTGGAAATATAAAGAATGTGGCCAAAGGCAGCCCTCACAGCGCAACAGAGCAGCCTGCACTTAATGCATAAGAGTCTGGAGCAGAGGGCAAGTGGGAAGATCAGGAAAAATTTAATGGCTTCTACCGGACACAAATGTTCAGGAAGGCCTTGAAATGGGGAGCATCTGGACTGAGAACCACACGAAAGAGTAGGGGGCCCAGAAAAAATGAGAAAGAACTACCCTCTGTAAGCACACAAACATTATCATCAGCATCAACAACTGCCCCTTCCCTAGAAGGTGGAACTGTTACATGTGAGCAGCAAAACAAGGGAAGGAAATGTATTTTTTTTTCAAATTAGTCTGAATTGAAAGATAAAGTTTCTATAGCTTCTTAAATAATTGTTTTAAGTTGTAAGCAGAGTTAGAACTGTTAGAATCCTCTTCCTAAGAGTGCTTCCCAATTTCTAGGAAAAACATAACAAAATACAGTAACCAGTTGCCATTGAGTCGATTCCGTCTCATGGCGACCCCATGTGTGTCAGAGCAGATTTGTGCTTCAGAGGGTTCTCAATGGCTGATTTTTCAGAAGTAGATTGCTAGGCCTTTCTGCTGAGGTGTCTCTGGGTGAACTCGAACCGCCAACCTTTTGGTTAGCAGCCAAGCATGTTAACTATTTGCACCACCCAGGGACTAGGTGTCTAGAGGACACCAGGAAATACGCATTGTTTGTCCTAGGAATCTTTGCTCTTGCATAGAGATTTCTTTATGGGGCCAGCAGCAGCCAAAAGATGGAAATTGTTGCTTTTTATGCACAGACTGTTTCAATCCTCCTTGAAATCATATCCTTTGGACACAGGCCCAAACACAATCCCTCCAACCTTTGTGAGATTTGTCCAGTTGTACATTTCACTCTGCAAAGAATGAGAAATGTCTAATGCTTTACGTTACCTAGGACTAAGGGCTTTGGAGTCTTGCTCTGATATTACAGTTGTACCCAGACAAATGAAGCCTAGTAGAAAAAGAATCCAGAGCCTTCCCCTTCCCAGGATCAGGCAGCTCTCTTTTGTACTCACTTGAACGTGACATGCAGAAGTATCTTTGCTATGATTGCTGTGACTGTGAGAATGAGGAGAGTTGCCAGGCCATACACTGTCCATCCTGCAAGTGCAAAAGACAGGTTTGTCGGACCTGTTTGTGCTCGGTTTTCAAAAGGAGGTCTGTTGGAAGCCCTGAGTGAACACTGGGAGCTCAGAGAGGCAGGGCTGGCTGGGAAGTCCTCTGTAGCAGGGGGGGCAGCCACTAAATGCAGCCACAGGAGCAGCTGAAAGCTTGGCTGAGCATGGAGCCCTAGGCCTTCTGCACACCCCCCCTTGCTCAGGGCTCACTCTTGGAGAGAACTAGGGTGGTGTGGTCCAAAGTGCACTGGATTCAAAGTCGAAAGGGGTCTGTCTCTACCACTGGAATCACTGTACAGCTGCAGATGGGTTACATAAAGTCTTTGGGCCTCAGTTTCCCCATCTGAGAAATGAGAAGTGTGACCTACGAAACTGTCCTGGGAGACACAAACAAATTACACAGAGCAAGCACTGCAGCGGCTCTGACCTTCCGTGTAGGCCCTGCAGGGACTCTGTGAGCAGTCTGAAAGCTTCTAGGCTAGGTAATCGCTACCGGTACTCTCCAGCACACAGAGGCTTTGACTTCCTTGGCGGAAAAGAGGGACTGGAAGTATGTACTCTCCCAAGTAGCCAGCTTAAGCCACAAGGCCATATCCAGTGGCATCACTAGGGTTGGTGTCACCCAGTGCGGTAACTCATGGTATCACCCGCCCCATGGACCTCCTCCCGTACCAGACCATAAGAATCCTTAATAATGTTTATTTCAATTTTAATCATAGAATAATATGTGATAAATATAGTTGTAAATTGCTTCAATGTAATATTTCTTAAATTATATGCATACTAACAACAAAATTGTTTTATAAAATCTTTGTACATTGAATTACAACATTATTAGTTACAACATTATTAGTAACTGAGCAGAAGCGTTTTTTGATCTTTCTCCCTCTTTTCCTTTAATTACTATCTCATTCTCAAAAAAATTTATTGATGGACTTCCGGCAAAACGGCGCTCTAGGGAGAAGCACCACGCCATCCCTCCACAGCAAAGATCCGAGAAACTAAGCTGAACAGAGAAAACCATCCTGAAACCCTAAAACATCAAATGAAGAGATAAAGAACTCAGCCAAGCACCAAATGGAGTAAGAAAACTGACAGAGAACGGAGAGTGAGGAGAGATTCATGCAGAGG